GCCACCACACTCGTTTGGGGGGCAACAACTCCAGAAATACAAGACGTATTAAATTAAATTTTCAAGTAGTGATTTATCATTATGTTTAACATTACGAGATTTAATTTCATAAGAAACCGTCAACCAATGAAGCTATAATTACCGTAACAATACAGTGTTTTAAGCGCAACAAATGCAATCCGAATGAAAGTCAATGTGGATTTTTCGCGTGTAAAACACTAAATTGTTACGACCATATCATTTTTATTGTCGAACGAAAATTCAGTAGTGCCTGAGAGTACTTGCTGGCTACTAAAATTGATACTACTGGCTGTATGTCTCACTGTAGGCTCACTAATTGGAGAAATATTCACATTTGCCAATTTGCATATTTAATTTTCAATTTACGAAACGTCCACATATGTGGACGTCAGGCATTTACAGTTGCGTTATACACTATATTCCTCATGAATTAGGACTGATATAAACTGAGCTGTGGACACGTGTCTGGTGTAAAATTCAACTTCAGTTGCAACATTTATTCATTAAGATGGTTAGTGATAAGCATTCTGGCAATAATTGCAGAAAATGGCAAGAATGAAATGTGGAAATAATGTAAAATTCCGAGCAGGCATACATGTCAATATTCCACTGACAATATCGAAATTCTTCAACATTTATTGAACATTTTGGTTCACTAGTACACAAACATCACATACATGTACATACTGGCAAGAATGACATACAACAATTAGTGATGAACACTAAGAAAAGTACAAAACAAAACAAGAATACAAGTATTTTCGAGATTGTCACTGTTGTTGATATAACATTTATAGAAGTACATGTACATTTATAGAAGTAGAAGTACAGTATAATTCCAAGTAATATCTCCCACCTGCAAATTCATCTACCCAGTGACCAGCCAACCACCAGACGTACTACCAGACAAACCAATAGCACTTTAAATCTTCAACGCATCCAGTCAAACAAAAACAACTATCTCCACTCGTTATACCCATGAACAATCCCCGAATGGAACCTCCTACCGGACGCTACTAAAAACCAACCCACACTGAACGCCTTCAAAACCCAACTAGACAAGATCAATATCGGCCAACTTTCCACCCATGCGCACTTCAAAATTTAGTAATCAACCAGCACCATGACAGCGTTACCTGCACGTGATAGCCCCACCATAGGCGATTGTGCAGTAGCATACAGATACAGATACAGATACATGTAGGTGCATACAATACAGTGCCACAATGCCTGACGTCCACATATGTTGATAGGCGCCCTTATCAATTAGTGCCCCGTGTCCACAAAAGTGGACAATTTGTTTGGCGATATAAATCACATAAAAATATGATATTTTACAAAGTAAAGTGTCCCCTTACATTCCTGAATCACTACATCAACATAAATTGGCCACCAACTGACCATTACTTAGAGAAAGAAGAATTTCTAAAACAAAATCTAAAGAAACTCACCGCAAAGCTTTACTAGTGGAGGCTGCCATTTTGATGAGTTGTATATAGCCCCCTCAATTGTCCACATTTTGATAGTTATGGTCACAAATGATCACTTTGGGTACAGAGATCACTATGCAATACATTGCAGTATTCTCAGATAGGCATGTATGTGTTGAAATGATGATAATAGAAACGTCCACGTATGTAGACGCAAGGCACTATAGGGTTTACATCTTGTATTTCTTGAGTTGTTCATCGGGAAACGAGTTGTTCATTTTTGTTCAATAGATTCTTTCTGTAGAGGGCGCGCCACATAAATAGTTGTCTCGAAAATTACCGACCACCAAACTCGTTTGGGGGGCAACAACTCCAGAAATACAAGATGTATTAAATTGAATTTTCAAGTAGTGATTTGTCATTATGTTTAACATGACGAGATCTAATTTCATAAGAAACCGTCAACCAATGAAGCTGTACTGACCGTAACAATACAGTGTTTTAAGCGCGACAAATGCAATCCCAATGAAAGTCAATGTGGATTTTTCGCGTGAAAAACACTAAATTGTTACGGCCATATCATTTGTATTGTCGCACTGTTTCTCGTGATATTCAATACACCTCTTACACACATCATGGAAAATCAGTCCACGAAAATTTAGTTTAATACATCATGTATTTCTTGAGTTGTTCATCGGAAAACGAGTTGCTCATTTTTTTTGAATAGTGCAGCATCCGCTAGTCTCGCACTTTAATATTCTTTCAGTAGAGGGCGCGCCACATAAATAGTGGTCTCGAAAATTTTCTACCACCAAACTCGTTTGGGGGGCAACATCTCCAGAAATACAAGATGTATTAAATTGAATTTTCAAGTAGTGATTTGTCATTATGTTTAACATGACGAGATTTAATTTCATAAGAACCCGTCAACCAATGAAGCTGTACTGACCGTAACAATACAGTGTTTTAAGCGCGACAAATGCAATCCGAATGAAAGTCAATGTGGATTTTTCGCGTGTAAAGCACTAAATTGTTACGGCCATATCATTTTTATTGTCGGACTGTTTCTCGTGACATTCGATACACCTCTTACACACATCATGGAAAATCAGTCCACGAAAATTCAGTTTAATACATCTTGTATTTCTTGAGTTGTTCATCGGAAAACGAGTTGTTCATTTTTGTTGAATAGTGCAGCATCCGCTAGTCTCGCACTTTAATATTCTTTCAGTAGAGGGCGCGCCACATAAATAGTGGTCTCAAAAATTTTCTACCACCAAACTCGTTTGGGGGGCAACAACTCCAGAAATACAAGATGTATTAAATGGAATTTTCAAGTAGTGATTTGTCATTATGTTTAACATGACGAGATTTAATTTCATGAGAAACCGTTAACCAATGAAGCTGTACTGACCGTAACAATACAGTGTTTTAAGCGCGACAAATGCAATCAGAATGAAAGTCAATGTGGATTTTTCGCGTGTAAAACACTTAATTGTTACGGCCATATCATTTTTATTGTCGGACTGTTTCTCGTGATATTCAATACACCTCTTACACACATCATGGAAAATCAGTCCACGAAAATTTAGTTTAATACATCTTGTATTTCTTGAGTTGTTCATCGGAAAACGAGTTGTTCATTTTTGTTGAATAGTGCAGCATCCGCTAGTCTCGCACTTTAATATTCTTTCAGTAGAGGGAGCGCCACATAAATAGTGGTCTCAAAAATTTTCTACCACCAAACTCGTTTGGGGGGCAACAACTCCAGAAATACAAGATGTATTAAATGGAATTTTCAAGTAGTGATTTGTCATTATGTTTAACATGACGAGATTTAATTTCATAAGAAACCGTCAACCAATGAAGCTGTACTGACCGTAACAATACAGTGTTTTAAGCGCGACAAATGCAATCCGAATGAAAGTCAATGTGGATTTTTCGCGTGTAAAACACTAAATTGTTACGGCCATATCATTTTTATTGTCGGACTGTTTCTCGTGATATTCAATACACCTCTTACACACATCATGGAAAATCAGTCCACGAAAATTTAGTTGATACATCTTGTATTTCTTGAGTTGTTCATCAGAAAACGAGTTGTTCATTTTTGTTGAATAGTGCAGCATCCGCTAGTCTCGCACTTAAATATTCTGTTAGTAGAGGGCGCGCCACATAAATAGTGGTCTCGAAAATTACCTACCACCAAACTCGTTTGGGGGGCAACAACTCCAGCAATACAAAATGTATTAAATTGAATTTTCAAGTAGTGATTTGTCATAATGTTTATTTAACATTACGAGATTTAATTTCATAAGAAACCGTCAAGCAATGAAGAGGGGAGCAAAACATATTTTTCCAAAAGAATTCCTGTATTTCTCAACATATTCTCAATTTCTTAGTTTTAGAGGGGGCAGAGACATTTGTCCCCCCCCCCAACTCATTAAATTTACACCACCATGACTTCGCGCCTATCTTTCTTTCTTTCCTTTTTTTTTTGCTTTTCCAAGCCCCCCCCCCCCCCCCCCCCCCACCGCGACGCCCATGGAAATTTCCTGCAATATTTTCCCATGGTATTTAGGCCTTTTGGGTGTTTGAATAGTGATTGATGTTCCTCTTGCCTCTGAAGGCATTTCTGCGTTGTTTGGAGAAAAGTCAATTTTTGGCCAAATTTTGATAAAAATGTAAGGCTTACCCCTTGCAATTTTTTTCAATTTTGGCCAAAAATGAATTTCCGCAAAACTTCATGCCCAAGGGACCCTAGAAGGCATTCCAATTTGATTTGATGACGGACGTGCTTCTGAAAAGAAATTTTCGCTTAAAATTTGGGGCCAAATCAGTCGAAAATGAGTCTTTTTTCGTCAAAAAAAACCCCAATGAATTTTGCCTAAATCTTCAAAATTTGGGGTGTTTGAATAGTGATTGATGCTCCTCTTGCCTCTGAAGGACTTTCTGCATTGTTCCGAGAAAAGTAAAGTATAAAACATTTGCTTTTTACTGTAACTTTCAGAAATGATGGATTTCGGGTTTAGAAATTGTTATAGCAAATATTGTTTCACTGACCTTTTTAATGTTTTTTTTGTTTATAGATGCTGGACAAACCAAGAGAAAAAAATGCTGTTCTTGTAGTCTGGTTCCCTGACCCTAGTTCAGACGAAACAAATTGATGGACATCGGGGAATTAGCAGGTCAGGGAACTAGACTAGCTGGCTTTCAAATGGTTTCACAGACGTATAACCAATTGCAAACAAAATGTGGACTAACTAACCTAAGTAAATTAGTGGCAGTATTTGAATTTTTTTTTTTTTCAACGATGGTCAGCCGACCATCGTAAATTGATACAAAAATTCCACTTCAATGTTATCACTGGTACAAAATAATAAAAGGAAGTTTGCCTCCAGAAAAAAGAATAATCAATTTTGTTTTGTTCATCTCTTTTCTCAGTTCATTTTTCTTCTTTTAAATAACCAGTTGTAGAATACGACGATAAATACAACAGTGAAAGACAACGGTCATAAAGACTTAATAAATACATCAACGGGACGAGACTTCAGAGTTACAAATACAACACAAGTTGCAATGTAAATTGAGATTTATTTATTTCGTTGCAGCCAACAGACAAAAAAAAATAATATGTACAAAAGAATGAAAAATAGGCCCGAAAGGAAAAATTGGCATATAAACTCTAGCAACAAGAGGTAGCCATTACTGTATTGTTTTCTAGCTGAAGAACAGCGAGTCTTGTTGCAAGTTGTCATTACAAGTGGCATAAATATTACTTTATAGTACTACTAATATACAACACAAAGCTTTTGCGTAAGATTTTGATATTTTTCCTGAATCAGCCCTGCCTGTTTACTACTCTCGGATACTTTCAGCTAAAAAGAATTCCTGGGGCAAAAAAAGGTTATTTTTTTCGACCAATGTGGTAAAAGGACACCTTGTTACATTTGATAATGTATCAACCAACGGATAATAATGACTAACAAATAATTTCACACAAATTGGCTGATACTGTATCACTTACCGATAATGCAACAAAAAATTACTAATACTGTAGTAATGGTACTACACGATCAGTCAATTTTTGTCACATTATCAGTTAGGACCGATAATGTAACAACCATAGACTGACAGTGAAGTACATGTTACTACACTATCGGCCAATTTTGTGTTACACTATCGGTTCGTGATACAGTATTGGTCAATTTTTGCGACATTATCGGTTGGTGATACATTATTCATTGATTACTACATTATCAGTTGTAGTCACCTGTTTTTTGGTCCAAAATAGCAGCAGGAAACGAATGGGAGTAGGAAAACATGTCGTGAAAATTGCTGGCAGTCTAAGGTGAAAAAAACTCCAGAACTAAGGCACCTGGCATACATGCCTGGCCAGAGTTTCTTCAGAAATAATTTCATATTCAATGAAAGTAGTAAAGTCTGTCACAAGCCAATATGGCCCATCAAGCTGGCGTTTATCTCCGGTTTCAGTGGCGTAAAACGACTGAGAGTATTTCAATTACCCCTTGACGAGATGCTAGTCCATCGCTGGTTACTCCCCAGCTAATGCCGGTACCCATTTATACTCCTGGGTGGAGAGAGGCAAGTAGGGATGAAGTGGCTTGCCCAAGGACACAACATATGGCCAGCAATGAACTCGCCAGATATTTAAGATAATTGAATACATGTGCGTGATTCCGCAAAAATTAATATGAATAATTATTTCCCTGGTATCTGAAAATGCAGTGGCACTCTTTAGTACTATTGATGAGAGCATTTGCTGTAACACTTAATAGAAAAAAGTGTAAACTTTCACGTTAACATCACAGTGGATGTGAACAATTCACAAACTCTGCCCGTATTTCACTTGTTAACCACCAGTCTTAATTATGAATAATTAAACCAAATGCACAATTTAGCACAAACACAAAACTATCTGAACCCCAAAAAAGTCTATTCTGCTTTTGATTTCAACTGACTCGCAAATGAAGTTACATAACACATAAAATGCTCGTCAAGAATATTTTGATCGATCAAAAGAGGTAGACTTAACAATAAATACAAGTAATACCTATTTCCTATAGTAAGCAACAGCCTCGGTAAAGCCCATTAATAAAAAGAAAATATCAAATGCACCCTCTTAATTAAGCTCTCCCTGTGCGCTGTGCTATCATGGATTCCTAGTGCAAAAGGAAGAAGACTCATTATACAGGGTGTTCAAAAAGAAAACCGATCCCTCAAAGCGCCCTCTTTTTCGCAGCTTTTTAAAAAATAATCGCAAATATCGATACATATTTGGAGAGTATAGTTCATTAGATTTTCAAGAAGGAAAAATCTTTCCAATAGAAACATCGCGAACTGGACACAGTATACTAGCACATATACGGTGCATTCCGAGTAAGGCTATGGTGGGTATTAAAGCACATTCCACTAATCATCATACAAACAAACAAATAATAAGGGAATAAATATGTGTTTTTCAAACTGGACTAGGAGCCTGGTCACCGATACTGGCCCAAGCATTGGGCCAAGCACATATTTATTCCCATTCATAAATACCTTTTCAATATAAAAGTCAAAGCACTTCAAAAACTTGACAAAATTTCAACAATTTTGTTCAACAATTTTACTTCATGCTTTGTGAAACAACCCTCTGGCCATGGTTCTGGCATGTGCCTCGCACGCGTTGTGCTAAAAATCTCCTTATATGGAGATTGGCATACTGAGCGATGTTTTACTGGCGGTTTAAACCACCCACATGACCGGCTCTCGACCAACGGGAATGGGTAAATTGTCCTGGGTATTTATGAATGCTAATTAATGATGCTAAACTCCATATATTTTTGCATCGTCTAATATGTGTGCTGCCGGGATACTGCATATATACCATATGAACCTCATCACTGCTAAGTAAAAGTCTACACATGCCGGGTAAGATTTATATTAGTACCGTAGCTTTTTCCAAGCATAAAATAGAATATAAAGTTTATTTCTACAGTATTTCACATATACACGTTTCAGTAATGTTCCCACTTGTTACGTTGCTGACGGGAATGATTTGAACAAAGTCACAGCATTAATGTGTGAACATCATTTGACTTCTTTTTTTCTTTTTTCTTTGTTTGGTTGAACTCACATCTTTTTTGGCTCAATCTATCACATATGTTAAGGGTCTGAAATGGATAATATTGCACATTTTCAATAAATTATTTTCAGATGCTTGTTGTCTTGGACATTGCATCGATGCTTACAATTCTATTATTTTATCTATGCAGTCAAATAGCAATGTTTACAAGTGACGTTTTAAAGTGAGTTTGATATAATAATTACACCCACAACAAAAAATGGAATATCATCATGAAAATTTAGAGAACAACTTACCTTCTAATTTTTTGTACCTGTAAAATGTTCATCACCTCCATTCTGCAGATGTCTTTAAAGTTCAGTCCAAAGATCTATAAACCTTGACATTTTTTGAAGGTCAGGTTTTCATGAAAAGCAACAAACAGTCTCGAAAGGAGAATAATATTCTCTACCCTAATACCCCTAAAGTAAACCCACAATTCGACCTCTGCCAAGTTCTGTCTTATTTTGCCAGAGCGCCTCACAATTAAGAATGCTACTACAATGACCCCAGTGACCCCATGATGACCCTTGACCCCAGTTTGGTCATGTGACATATTGGGGCTGGGCTACTGATACTTTTGACAAAGTTTCGTTGAAATCGGTCAAAATATGTAGGTGCAATAGACAATATCAACGTTTGTTACTTACTAACTAACTAACTTACTAACTACTAACGGAGAGATATGATGACTTGTTGAGCTGCTATCCCGCAGCTAAAAATGCCAACAACAAAAAACAAATGATCAAAAAGCAAATGATCTTATGCACTTTCTAAGTATCAGTGACAACTAGAGTTCACCTATTTTTAGTTTCTGTCTGGTCATGTATCAAAAACGGACTCGTCTTCCGAGTCCGTGGCCGTGTGACCTAGAAGACGGAAGCTGATTGGCTGCATTTGGCGCGCCTTCCTCAGTTGCTTCCTCCGTCGGGTACCGATGAAAAGTAAGACGATCATGCCAACGGCGATAACAACGGCAAGTAGCATAGCCCCAGCTGCCAAAATCCAACCTAGACAAGAAAACAAAAAAGGTGGTTTCAACTTTGAGATGAAGAGATCGGTAAATTTTTGAGGGAAGAGCCCGTGCCTGACTCATGCTGTGTTAGTATTTTCTGCGTTAACCTTTCATGTTTCATTTTGCCATTGATCAGGGTGGATGTTTAAAAGTTACTGGTGAAAATAGAGGGCGAGTCCAAAAAAGCAGAACCCAAACCCCTAAAATTAAATTTCATATTAAAAAAATGTGTAGCACCACACATAATAATGACTGGAAAGCCAATTTCATAAGCTACTACTGGATGAAAAAAGTACTGAAATTGCTCAATCCGTTCAAACAATATCACTGTTTAAACACAACGATCCTAAAACCTCTTTTGTCCAAAAATGCGATTTCAAGAATCCTCATCACAATTGTCTTCAAACATTGCCAGGGATAAAACCTCAGTTTAAAAGTTTAAAAATTTTCAACAAAGTCCTTTAGAAGGCCCGTCTTTAAAAAAAAGGGGATTTTATAAATCATATTGTTTGCCTTTGGTTGTTGATAAAGATATTGCGTACTACAGTTGTTGACAGTTGTTGAAAGAAGTATTCTGTGTCATTTTCTTTGTTGTTCCAAACAGTCAGAATACACAATAAACTGCTTTTTTTGGACGAAACAAACTTTAAAGACATTGTGTTTAAATTGTGATATTCTTTGAACGGACTGTGCAATTTCAGTATTCTTTTCATCTAAAAGTAGCTTATGAAATTGGCTTTCCAGTCATTATTATGTTCAGTGCTACATAATTTTTTAAATATGAAATATATTTTTGGGGGTTTGGGTTTCGCTTTTTTTGGACTCACCCTGTAGTTGGTTTAAGTGAGGGTGATGGGTCACACTCTGAACAGGGTTGGTTGGAGAATGGAAAAAAATGGACTCAAATAATTGCACAACATGCTCCACTTTACGTGCAATTTTTGGCTGAACAAAGATCAACGACTTAAACAGGATTTGAACCCATGACATTCCAAAATTTGAAATTAAAACAAAACTGTTCTAATTTGAAATGAGTGCAGCATATGAGAGGTCGAACTCCAGAGCAGTTTGGAAAGAAATGTGGACGTCACACCACAAGTCAGTTTTTCCCACGGACTACAGGGCGAGTAAAAAAAACGGGTCGCAAATGGCAGGACCAACTTTTGAATGAAGTTTTGCCTGTAGCACTTTCAAAATCTGAGATATGAAAGCCCAATCAATGAGCTTTCTTTTAGTACAAGAATCATTCAGATCACTCATGTACTTTTCAAGTTACGGAAGTTTGAACACAAACACCGTTTTAACGTTCTGTCCACGGAGCACAAAAAAGGAAGTGTTCTTTCAGCAAAATGAAAACAATTCACATAGGGATGCATGTGAATTGTTTTCGTTTTGCTGAAAGAACACGTACCTTTTTTGTGATCCGTAGACAGAACTTTAAAACAATGTTTGTGTTCAAAGTGCTGTATCTTAAAAAGTACATGAGTGATTTGAATGATTCTTGTACTAACAGAAAGCTCATTGATTGGGCTTTTTTATCCTAGATTTTGAAAGTGCTACAGGCAAAACTTCATTCAAAAATTGGTCCTATCATTTGGGATGCGGGTTTTTTTTACTCACCCTGTACAGTGAAGTGTTTTGACAAAACAGCATCAAATTCATGTCAATTATTCTTTTCTATTTGAATGCATCAGAAATTGAGTGGACTTTTTTTCATTTTTTTGTTGATTCTTTTTGGAAGGAAGGGGTCGGCAGCAAGGAGATAGAGGCATCTACAAAAAAAAATTACAAAAGCTTTTCCTTAGTGTGCAAAACGCTAGAATTCTTATTACTATAGGCTCCGTGCATGCATAGTAGAAGGCGCTTCATTAAAGCTCCATGTGTGCAAAATAGCGCTTGCGTGTACTGGCTCATGTGCATATGGCACAAACTAAGTGTGCAAGACTATAAGAACTTTAATCTCAACCTGCATAAACCATGCACACACCTACATGTATAGTGTCATAGTGTGAGCCTCATGCATATGGAAGCAATATAATAAACAGTGCTTATAAACAATATGTGACCCATCACCGCAAAATAAAGTCTGAATTCTTAAGAATAGTGACTTTTTTTCAGTTCTGGATTCTGCTGAACAAGAAATTTTTAGATCAAATTTTAGGCTTTGCATGGTAGAGTATTTGCGGTAACACCATGTGGTAATAACTACTGTTGCTCAGTAAATGTTTAGTTCTGATTTAAAGGGAATGTACATCATTGGCTTTTGCTGTAATTTTCAGAAATGAACTATTTGAGGGGTTAGTATAATAGATCAAATTATTGTTACACTGACATGTTTGAAGTTTTGTTTTCGAAAATGCTGGAAAAACCAAGAAAAACAAAAATTGTTCAAGTAGTCTGGTTCCTTGACCCCACTAAAGATAAAATGGATAAATTTATAGATGCCGGAAAATTGTAAGGTAAGGGAACCAGTCTAGCTGGCCTGCACCCGATCGTGAACATGTAACCAATAGCAAGCAAAATTTGGACTGAAAAAAAGTGTAAAGTTAGAGGAGTAGTTGAAAAATAGTTAGGTTTTTCCAACGGTGATCGGCCGACCACCGTTGGAAATGTATACAAAAATACCATTTTCTTGAAAATGACTTCACACCAGGTGCCATAATTTTACAGGATGCTTTAGACTGTCATTTACCAACATCCTAGTAAGGTATTTCGTAAAAACTTGGTAGTTTTATTTTTTGATGTTTGCAAATGTTGTATATTCCCTTTAACTTGTCCTGCTTATTATCAACTTTCGCTAAGTAGGTTTTAGTTCTGATAAGAACAGTCCTGCTTAGTTCTAAAAGAAGTTGTCTTTGGTCTCAATGTTTCATCAAGCCTGCTCTAGTCATCGTCAGGAGACTGAGGAGAGTTGGAGATGCTACTCCTTAAGTAGGCTGTGTTAGGATTGGGAATGCTTGTGTTGGTGGATTCTGATTGGTTGAGCTTTTCAATGGTATATAACATTTAGGGGTACTGAATTCAGTGAACGAGATACAGACCGCAACCTAAAGTAGAGTTTGAAAATTCATTTTTGAGAAAATGCTATCGAAATATTCCAGCTGTTGTACTCAAGTGAATGAACAGTCAACTAAGGAAATGAGATGAAAAAGTTTGAATGGATCTGTGATGGATCAAACACAATCGAGAAAGGAAGAAAGGTTTGCGTGAAGACAAAACAAAAACAAATTTCAATCCATCAAATTTTGGCTTTCCCCGATCTACTGCAAAACGGATATTTTTACTTGATGCTCATTTCGCGTGACATTATTGTCTTCAAGGAAGAGTCTACCTAAGTCTCTATTTGTCACTAACCTTCCCAAATCATCTTTGCAAAAACGGAGGATTTTGCAGGACTGAGGCTATATGGCAAAAGTGTGTGGTTGATTTTGGAGGATGCTCTGTGTCAAGGTCTTGGGCTGGACCTTGTGTTGTTTATGCTCAGCTGTGCATAAATTTAGCCTATATTAAACTTGAAATCCTCTGCACTGCTCCAGGATGTCACTGGCTCTGCCTCATAATATTGACAGTGATTACCGGAGGATTTTGCAGGATTGAGGCAGTGGTCACCCCTCCAAGGACCACATTCAAGAAATAACAGAGGATTTTGCAGGATTGAGGCTGTATGCTATTTTAACACGGAGTAGTTGGAGGATTTTGCAGGATTGAGGTTACATCCTAGCAAAAATGCCTGCGGAGTTAGGGTTAAATATTAATGAATGAACTCGGGTGCAAACATGGTTAAACAAAAGTATCAAGATGCTTCGTATGCAGACATGCACTGCGTTCTGCCAGCAAACATTAATTTCAAGTTAATAATCGGCAAAGAGAAGGCCAGATGCTTTTGTGATCATAACAAGCCGCATCCACCTTAAGCAATGGCAAAACGAAATAAAAAAGGTTAGATCAGAAAAAAGTGTCTCACATATGGACTGTCTACACGTCCGGTCTGGCGGGCGGCGAGAACAGACGCAGCTTGACGTTGTTGTTAAGGTTGCGCAGAAATCTGCAGCCTTTCCGCAGGCTCGCCAGAAGGACGACAATTGTGAGCAACGAGAAAATGACCAGCCACTGAAAAGCCCGCTGGCTGGCAGCGAAAGGTAAAAATCCTGCGGACAAAAAATCGACACGAATCTTTGTTCCCCTTGATATCCATTGGAATTCGTGGTAAAAGTTCAAACTGCAAAGAAGATTTGTATTTCTCCCCAAAGGCACGAGAGCTGTAGTATAGTCCACAACGAGCCAATCACAATTCACGTCACCGTGACGAATCAGGTCACACAAGTGACAGGTGACGAACAATACCCAAGGATTGTCACTTCGTCACATTTCTTTGCAAAAGCTTGTGACTTGACTTGCGACAGGATGACCGATGACTTACGATTGATTTTTGGATTGATTTTTTTTTTTATGACAGACACTTTTGAACGATTATTCAAACCATTTTTTTTTTGCAGCAGCTCGAGATCAGTGCATTCTGGTCTCTACCTTCACAGGTACCCATTTATACTCCTGGGCGGAGAGAGGCAATTGTAGTAAACTGTCTTGCCCAAGAACACAAGCACCATGTTCCCCGTCAAGGATCAAACGATTATTCCAAGGTACCTGGTTTCAATGGTTGCGCTGTGGTTAAATGGTTACGGTGTTCGACTCACGTGCCGTGGTAACGTGGGTTCGAACCTTGACATGAAGAAAACTTGTTGAACAACATCACTAGAAATTTCAAATTTTTTCACTTGTTTTGCTTTTTGGACTGAACAATTTTAATTTTTTTATGACTGAAAAGGTTTTAATGAATGGGATTCAGCTCGGGTAACTATCAACATCCAGAAGCCAACCAGTCTTAAACATAGTGTTTCAAATACTGCAAGTAAAACTTGCGCGATCCTCCTGGCAAACTTTCTGAGCATAAATATCTTGTCAAATTTGCCTGGAAAGTCATAAATTTGTTAAAAGCACAATCCTCAACAATGGGGTGGGAATGTACAAGTGGAAAATAGGACAAACAACTTGATATTATCATCCTGCTTCATTTCCCGATCCCATGTCACACTTTTGTACTCCTTTAGTGTGGAAAGGCCCACATGTTAGTAATACTGAGCTGAGCTCCACAGAGAACTCGTAAATATCCATGTTGGAAAGGATTTTTTTGACATCGGCCTTTCTCTCCAAAGACCACCTTTCAGGTTTGGTTGAGATTGATAACTGAACTTACAGTGAACCTAACCAAAATGGCACACACACATACTGAAATTTGTATCATTGTGGAGACATTTCTTTGTTCCCGTGTAGTAAAGTTTTCGAGTTTGAAAGTGAAGTTTCAAAATGCTCTTATTTTAGCCAGAATTAATTTCCTTGGCTGAAATTCGGACTTAATATCCCCTTTCTAAAACTCTTCCATTTGCGACGGATCAACCCACCTTGGAAATTCCTAGTTTTTGAGCAAAATCCATATATCTAATTTGTGAAAACCTTGTGGAGACGTATTCATCTATAGAAATTGCCCTGTGGAGACGAATACAATCTTTTGTTCCCAATTGTATGCACGTCTCCAGAGGGCACGGTGTATCAGATCAGAACACCTGATTGCAATATCCCTGTCCAGCTTGAAAGCCAGGGGGATAAACACCGGCCAAGCACACTTATATTCCCTTATTCAAGTGTACTATCTGTACCTGTGTTCCACGTTTTGGGTAGGAAGCCTGAGTTATGGCCCGAGGTCCCCTGTGCTTTGCAAGCTGTCACAGCATCAGTGACCACACAGTCCTTTGTAATCTCGAAGAAATGATCCAGTGTGCACGGGCCCTTGGTCCCTGGCATTGGAAGTTTAATGGGCTCCGCCTTGGTGTTGTTTTTGAATAAAACATCTACGGTGTACGACCTGGTGGAGAACAGAAAATAGCAGATTTTTAAGGTTTTTTTTTTAATTTCTATTATGAAATACCTTACTTGACTGCAAATGAATAATAGTCTCAACCATCCTGTGAAATCATGGCACCTGGTGTGCTATCATTTTCAAGAAAACTTGATATTTTGTTTTGAATCAATTTTCAACGATGGTCGAAAGACTATCATTATAGGAAAAAAAACTGACTTTTTGCAAATACTGCCCCCAAGGTATCAAAAATAGTTAGTCCACTTTTTGCATGCAATCGATTGCACATCTGTGAAACGGGTGCAAGCCAGCTAGTCTGGTTCCCTGATATGACAATTCCCAGATTTCTATAGAGTACTCCGTTTCATCTAAGGTAAGGTCAGGGAAATTGACCAAAATACACCTCATAAGTATCCCACAAAATATAACTGCCAAATCTAAATTTTCAAAAAAAGCAAACAAAATAAATTAAATACTTAACAAAACTTTTTTCTTACAATTCAGAGAGATGTTTAAGAAAAGTTTGTAAATGGAGGCAAAATTATGTGCAGTAATGTTGTAGTCACGTGGTATTTATCACAAATCGCTACAAATCTAGGTATACATCTAAAGTATGGTGCTCCATATGTGCCATCAGCGACACATTTTTGGGCGTCAGCCATTTCTGGCAGGGATCATTTTGATAGATTTTATGCAAGACTTTCATGCAAGACGACCGGAGCTTGTTGTGCACTCGCACTTGTTTTATACTGTTTATCGTGCCATATACTTACTTATCGTCTTCCAGATATAATTCTATCATAACGCAGCTAGCTGGAGGTGGACCGAGGTTGTTGAAGACATTTAGTGATCGTAGTAACCAGGCCACGTTATCATCATGCTGAAAGTACAAGACAAAAAAAAAATCAGGTTTATTGACGAGCAGTGGTCAAGTGAGAACGAGGTGCCACAAATGGAAGAGCAAGAACAGATACCGAAAAGAAAAGAGACTGTTATGAGGTACATGGATTTCGACCATGGGTCATTCTGAAATTTTGGGGTCCATTTTTGTTCATGTCCCTGTTTCATGTACAACTCTGGCAATTCTGATAACCACCCTGAATCCTTCAAAATCCGCTTTGCCAAAGTGGAGGAATTTGGAGGATTGAGGTTACATGGCAAATGTGCATTAGTGATTTCGTAGGATGCACTTTGTCAAGGTCTTGGGCTGGACCTTGTTTGTGTTTTTGCTCAGCCATGCATAAATATAGGCCTGGATTATGCTTGAAATCCTCTGCACTGCTCCAGGATGTCACCGGCCAAGCCTCAACATATTGACAGTCACTGCCGCAGGATTTTGCAGGATTCAGGCAGTGGTCACCCCTCCACGGACCATACTCAAGAAAAAATGGAGGAATTTGTAGGATTGAGGCTATATGCTATTTTTCCATGAGTCCAATTAGAGGATTTTGCAGGATTGAGGCTAAATCCTGGCAAAAGGGCCTAGGGAGTAAGGGTTTTAATAACAGCAAAATGTTATGCATCACAGCTCAAGGGTTGTGCAGGATTCAATTAATTTTCTGCGGCTTTTGTCCTTGGAATATTCAACTTTCTTGTTAAGTTTTCCAAGACTTTTTATTATTATTATTATTTATTTGACCTCAACAAAGAATTACAAACAGTGATACAAAACCAAACAAAAATTACACAAAAGTGGTTGAAACGAAACGCACAACAAAAGAAACGTATAAACATGTAATTTAAATTTAAATTAAAATTTAAATTATTAAAAAATCATGAAGTAGAGGGCATGCACTTTAAATGACAGCTGGAGTGGGCTTCCCAATTGGGAGTTGAACAATAACCAGTAAGACACAAAAAATCACAAAGAAAACGATTATGTGGGTCAGGGACCGCAAAAGCGAATCTAATCACTGTTGCTCGGAAGCATGCGGACCCGCACATAATGACAAATGAACTGGACAAAAAAGGCAAACAAATACGCAAGAACAAGATTACAAATAGCAGGGAAATAACACAATAAAGAGAAGCCCGAAGATTATGACAGCTTTAGATTAGATATGATTTATGACAGCTTTAGATTCCACAATTTTTCCCAAGATTTCCCACGACTGTAGGAACCCTGGTAACAACAAAACCAAAGTTTTTAACTTCTAAAGATATCAAGAGAGTTGACTTACACCGCTATACATGTACAATTTTGTGGTCTCTGTCCCTTCAGTTACCGCCTTGAAGTGGGTGACAACTTCATTCAATAAGGTACCTGCATGATCAAATGTGAACGAGGAAAAAAAAATCATGATGTCAACATTTTGCTAAATTGGGCACGCCTCATGAAAGAGGTGCCATTTGACAGTAGGAGCCGTGCCAAATATGTGAAATACACCGAATATCTGAAAAGCCAATCAGCCACTGAACAAACAAACAGCATTTTAATAAAAAGAAAATTCAACAGGAAAAATATTATCGTGTCGAGAAGATGACAAAAACTTCTGTGATGTAATTTTATTCGTAATATAAGTCAAGATTTTTTTTTTGGGGGGGGACAAATGACATATTATCGTGGAGTGCCACTTTACACGATTGTTTTGAGGGGGGTCCATGAGGAATATTAGCCCTAATTTGCACTTTTATCAACTAGTCAGCTGTCTCAAGAAAAATGTATTGATACATAGGGGGTCTCTCATAATAGGCCAATCACTACATCACATATCGTTTAAATCTGTGAGGGTCGGGTGATGTTGAATTGACATGGAATGACCCAAATATGTTTTTATCTCGATATCAATGTTCGAATATTTGACCATATCCATATTTCAATAAGCGAATACTAAATTACTTGGAAATACACAGCACAATACAATATTTAATATAATAACAGGCATTTATATAGCGCTTTTATGCCGCAACGGGGTATCAAAGCGCTTTACAATTATTATTTTCCCTGTTTCAACGGGCAAACACTCCTGAAACCTTCTCAACTCCCTGGGGAGCATACATGGCCGGTAGGCAGCCATTTTGGCGCTCTTGGCCGTAATCAACCTCTCCCAGTAACCATCTCTGCCCTCACAAGTACCCATCTACTCCTGGGTGGAGAGAAGCAATGAGTGACAAAGTGCCTTGCCCAAGGGCACACTCACCATAACCCCAGGCTGGACTCGAACCCACAACCTGCAGAATTACCTGCAGACCACAAATGCTCCAGACCACTAGGCCACAGCACTCCACATAACTAATGCACTAACTCATGCACAGCCTATTATCTTACCAAGCCGTGAATTCAACTTATAATCAACTTTATGTAATCGGACCCTAGTCTTCTCAGACAATCTGGGGTTTACCTGAGCGAAGTCTGAAGTACTCTTCGTTTTGAACCTCGGAGGCGTATGAAAAGTCCAGCATGGGTAGTACTCTGTCAATGATGTCTTGAGTTGCCCACGTCGGTAATGATCGACCGTCTCTAATCTGTAATATTAGAAAGAAATGTATACATAACTACAATATAAAAACCAGAGCAAATGCTTTAACAGAAGAAATTTTAAAATAAACCGTGTCAGCTGTATTCGCTTCCATGTCAGCCGCCACGCAGAAACTTAGGGGAGGGGGGGGGGGGAGTGACTACAGGGAGCCTAGGCCTTACTGGTATATAGTTTTACAGTCAGTTTTTACAAATGATTTTGAGGAGTTTAGAACCTCCTGAAAATTATTTGTTTATGCATACATGCTTATTTACACGGTTGAGGTAAGATACAGGGCGGTTAGTTTACCGTCTGTCCCCATTGGACATAATTTTGTCATTCTACAGGAAAGTTGCGGTTGGTTAACCAAAAAGATTTCAATGGGAACATGGCTTTAGATACTTTTAAACTAAACTTTGCTCTAATTTCTGTTTAAAATTATGACGACAAATCCAGCTACCTGTAAGAGTTTATGTGTCCTACATAACCCCCGAGGACCAACACACAAAGGGAGAACAACAGATCCTTTCAGTCCTCAGGCGGTGGGTCTTTTGTTGAAAACGGTCCTCTGTCGTAAGGTTCCATGTGCTTAGTCTATGGGAGAGTGTTATATTACAGGGACAAAGGAAAACACAAAGCATTGTCCTCGAGAGTATAGTAAAACACGACTGTGTGCTCACCTCAAAATACCATGAATCTGCTATTCTTGTAAAATTTTGATATGTGACATTGCTGACATCATAACCTGCATGTTTGGCAAGAGTGTCGAAGAAATCCTGCAAACAAAACATAAAGCAGAACCAGCAGTTAATTCATAATTTGTTAAAGTACAAGCATTCAACCAGCAAGAACTCATTACATAATTGATTCATAAATACCTAAGACAGTTTACCCATTCCTATTAGTCCAGAGCCTGTCATGTGGCCAGTTTTAAACGGTTGATAAAGACATGGCTGGCCGGTCTTAAACACTTTTCCAGTGTCACATGAAATGTGGACCCCTATGAAATCTGGTGCCAGCATTGTTTTATTGGTTGAACCTTCACAATCCTCACGTAGGCATGCGCAATGCTACCAGTGAGTCAGTATTTCATGGTCCCAAATTCACACTATACCGGCACAGCTGCGTTCTGCGCCACATCGCGCAGTACGCGCGACGCGCCCGCCAATCTGCATAAAATGAGTTGTTTACAACTGCTCGGGAGAGGGACATACCATAACTTAACTAGAAGGGTGTTTCGAAAAACTTGAAGTAAAATTGTTGAACAAAATTGTTCGGAATTTATAATTTGTGACTTGTTTTGACTTTTTGAACAAAATGCTCAGATTTTTTACCAAAAAGGTATTTATGAATAAGAATATATATGTGCTTGGTCGGTATTAAACACTATTTTTAAGACCAGTTTGGAGTCTGGACGCTGATATTGACCCCAGCCCCAGACTCCAAACCGGTTTTAAACATAGTGTTTAAAACTGGCAAAGCACACATTTATTCCCTTATTGAAAACAAACTTGTTCTCACCTTGTTTTTACTGATGTAGTCTTCATGTACATGTAGTTTCTCGTTTTCTTTCCCAAGTTCCTCCAATCTTGGACAATCCAAATGATTATCCGCGACTAGTAACTGCCAAGAAAAATCAAGCATGAAAACCATGTCAGAACGAGTTCTGTTGAGATTTTCCATTGAGTTTTGCCCGTCACTGACACAAGTTTACAGCTACTCAGTGTTAACAGATTGTTTATGAGAAACGAAGCTTGATACCACAAATCTGTACAGGGTGCGTAAAAAAAAAGGAAAACCAAATGGTGTCCCCTTTGTGCTTTGCCATGAGTTGGTGCACAGATTTCTGTACAGTTAAGACCTTTAAAGATGGTGTCCAAGTAACTTATGCCTGGCTTCTTGATGTGGTTTCAAGACAGTATGATAGAGATCAGTGACTCGAACCCATAACCCTCCACTCACAAGCACAGACGTTTTAACCACGTGGCTAAAGAGTTTATCTCTCAACTTTTACATTGCTCAAATTAGGTTTTGCCCTTCACTGACGTATAAACACTGTATACTAAGTGTGTTACCTCCCGAGTGAAAGTTAGAAAAATCACTCGGGTGGGACTCGAACCCACGACCTCCTGCTTTCTAGTGCAGATGTCTTATTGAGCTAACAGGATTGGTTGGCTGGTTCGAATCTGAGGTACAGTACATAGCAGTGGATACCGCATGAACTAAAATAAACTATTTTACATCTCTCCCACGCAAACTTTTAGTCTAAAGTCCTCTTTGGTTGCATGGGGGAGTGTGGCCAAGTTGTTAGGGTTCGTGACTCATGATCAGAGGGTCAGGGGTTGGAATCCAGCTGCCGGCTATATGTTGTGTCCTTGGGCAGGCCACTTCACCCCAACTTGGCTCTCTCCACCCAGGAGTATAAATGGGTACCGGCATTAGCAGGGGAGTGACGTGCAATGGACTAGCATCCCATCCAGGGGGAGTAGAAATATTCTCAGTCGTTTCAGGCTTTTAAAACTGGAGATAAACGCCGGCCTGGTGAGCAACATTGGCTTGTGACAGACTTTACTTTACTTTTTACTTACTCTTGGGTCGTGTGACTTAATGGAGAAAGAAAAAAAAAAGGCCAAAAAAAATGGCAGCCTTCCAGATGCTCTTGTTGAACAAGACATTCCAGACACACGATTCCAAACTTACGTGATTCTCAGACGTTGGCTTTGTAAACACAGGGATGGGTTGCCATGACAACTGTTCATTCCACATCTGTCTGCCTTGCGGTGGGTACAGTCCGGCCAGGTTGCTCTGGGCCGACATCAGGGTCCGATCATAGGCCGTGCTGTGGACGTGGATCTCGGTCCTCACGTAGGATGAGTTCAGCAGTCTGCTGTCGGTCACATACCGTTGCCTCAGCCACTTGCCCAGCTCGTAGTGCTGCCGCATTCCTTCCTACAGGTATATGTATAATGAATGTTTACGAGTGCAATGGTACAAATAATGTCATGAGGTGACAAATGGAACATTCAATTATATACAACACCTGAATAAATCCCCGTCATCTGATTGGTGGATAGTTGATCACATGTCAATGAATTATTCGTCCCAACGCACGGTATGTGCGGTGCGCAGCGCACAGTGCAATGGAAGTTCTATTGCATGGTGAATAGAACGTCCATGACACAGTTTCACTGCTGCTGTGGTGTCGCTCTGACACGAATCTATTTCACAAAATGCCGACGTTAAGCGAGACTGAAACTGTTTGTTCTCCTAACAGAAGATGAAATAGCTGAACTTGTAGGTCAGCGGCTAACACAAAGAAGCAAATAAAATACGCTGCCAACGATTAGACAAATTTGAAAAACATATAGGAAAATCTATTGAAGCATTATACTGATTCACAACTGAACAACTGCTTTCTGTATCCCAAACTCTTTAGCCCTTGTGGCTTTTATACGTACCTGGGTGAGTTGTCCAAATCCCTGAGGCCAGGTGTCTTCCTGGTAAGGGTCCGAGGGGTATGCCTTGATCGGTGAGCGGTTCCCATGCCTAAAAAGCTGCCAGAAACAGTGAAGTATAAACCGGTACAGTAAATTTGATAGGGTCCATGAGATGAATTTTCTTAGGAACACATTTTGTGCAACTTTGTACTCCTCTTAAATGTTTGAAAACTATTTGACATTCCTTTTTGGTTAATTTTATTGAAAAGTGCACTTCCTTAAACATTGAAGTTGTCCATGCTTTTCCTGACAACTGAAAGTGCTGTTGCTGAGATGTCATTTATGGAAGACACTGCTCAGTTTAAGGGTTTGTATCCTCAGCATATATTCAATGAAATTCCCCACAAAGATTACGACATACAAAGGTGGCAGTACACCTATCTGTGAAACGGTCTCCAGACCAAAAAAGTGTCACACCTCCGGCGTGTGTTACTCGCCTCAGAGTCAATTCACACGATCATATACTGGACAAACGTAACCACACACCTCACGCTAAATTGTACTGGAGTGGGAAGTGCCAAGCCGTTGAAGCGTGACTCCACAGTTTTTTAGGTATAGATTATTGGCGGGGTATTCTGCAATTGTCACATTGTCATTGTGATTGTGCCCATATGTTGTTCTTCTGTGATGTACACGAGTACATCACAGTACAACAATTCAGACTTTAATTATTGCCACTGAATCTAAATGATGTTTTCAGGTTTTGTTGTTTAGTAAATAACAAAATATGTAGACATTGAGGGCGCCCTGTGTAAACTCTCTTGGTTTTGCTGCGCTGGCGTTGTTGTCGTGTCACACTTGAATTCTTAACCTGCTCAAAATCGGCAAAGAAAATCTAAAATCAAAACCATAGTTAATGATTAGAAAGCTAAAACAGCTATTTACCACATGTGTGAGTTTGAGCGTCCTGTTCGAGCTTGAGGTACTACAAAATGCTGCAAAAATTATCACAAAGCACCATATGAACTCTGCGGGCGCAGCCATCTTTTCCTTCGGATGATTTGTAAACAGCGCCCTCTTTTGAATGCTATCTACATCGCGACCGACCAAAAAAAGGCTGTAAAAATAAAATTGATGGGAAAGATTATTTTTAAAATTGCGAGATTGTTTTCGCCCGGTTATAAATCATGTTGTCGTTCAATAATTGGCGCAATTTTCAATTCGATCATAGCTTGATGCCAATTGTTTACATGTAGCTGCAAAACTGTGCTTAATTAATAATTATATGAAAAAGGGCTCATTGTTTTGGGAAAATATCCCAAGAAATACCAGCTAGCAGTGTTAATAATTTGAAATTTCGTCCAGCGATCGATCTTGATGTGTAACATGCGAAGATTCAATTTCGGTAGAAACCGACAAATATTTAAAATAAAATAACCAAAACCGTGTTAGTGTTTATAAAGGCGAAAATAGAATCCTAATAAAACTTGATTTTCATGGAACAAATTTAAAGCCGGCAACACATTCCTCTAGCAAATGAAAAAATATTTACTGCTTTTTTGGATGTTCGTTTGTTTGTTTCAATATTTTGCAAGGGCAAGTTTACCCGCCTACTTTTGTCAACTTAAAGTTTATCACGAGAAAGGGGCGGTGTGGACGGTATTTCTGTCCCCTGGTAAAGCTGTCGGGGGAGGGGACAAAATTAACTAGGAGGCCACCCCCGCCCTCCGCCACCACCACCCTGGCCTGCCACGTTCCACCTCCCCGTTTCCGAAAATCTGTTTCTAGCGCTCGCCGCGGCCCCCAAATCCTGGTCTGATTTCTGTATTTTGTCACAAGAAAGTATTGGAGTATACAATCGTCTTCCGTCTTTTAAGTTGGGCATTTGTATTGTTAAATTTGCCCTGGAATTATGTCAGTTGTCTGGATTTTCATGAAATATTAAAGTCATTCCCAGAGATGTGATACGTTTACTTTTACGTTCTGGTTTAGCGATTAGGTTAACAAACCATCAAACGACAAAATTCCTCTGCTAATTTCAAATCAATTACCTGATTCAGTCACAAGAAATTATCTTTCCCTCAAAGCAATCATTAGGTTTCAGAGCTGAATCCTTTGCGGAATTGACGATCTAGCTGCCACTGAGTACGGCACCTCATCATCGGCACCGTGGCCGGGTAGTAGCCAGCCGTGCGTAGCCCCCCGGAATGCCCCGGCGGAGCCCGCTCGCTCATCTCGCGCTCCTCAGTGAAATACAATCGCCCAGGCAATAAGGCCAGCCAACACGGACTCATAAATCTTCGGCTAATTGATTTACCTCATTGAGAGCTGTGACCAAAAAATCACCGAGGTCTTGTTGGAATTTGCCGTGTGTGAAACCATTAAACCCGGGGAAATGGCCGTCTGTGCAGGTCCTTGTCATACCGGAGGCTGCAGTGGCGAATCCTGGATAGTTTTTTCCATGGAATTCCTCCATAATTATTCCTTCCTCAATGGTCTTCCAAAGGGGTGTTGAAGTCCAAGAATTTGCAAGGAGGCCATGAAGCATTGCAGTAAATTCATAAAAAAAAGACCAAAGGCCTGAAACAGTGAATCAAGATTTTGCGATTTTGACGTATATTCAGGTAACTTTGGTCAGTCAGAGGGTGGGGGGGGGGGGGGGGGTTCGGTTAATCACCCTTGTCTTCTCCCTTGTGGGTGTCATTGGAAGATGTAGCCAACCGGAGGGGGGTTCAGGGGTCCTCTGATCCATTTCCCTTTTTATTACATACAGTTAAGTATATTCCGTGAATCCGTGCATTTTTCTTTTTGAACAGGCCCAATTGATCACACAATTTTGGGTCATTTTCTATTAAAAACAACAAGTCGGAAATTTTTAAAACTCAAAACAGAAAAGACGTCTTTGTGGTTTTTTTTAAGGAGTTGAGTGGTATAATATGTACAAGTATATTTGAAGTCCAACCTTAGTAAAGCTTGGGATTTTATTGCATTTGCGAGGCCTCGGAGAGCACTGGGTATATAGACAGTGCTTGTAAAACAAAGTCGGTGGAGCCTGCGTGCAGAATTACAACCCAATGTTGAGTTAAATGTATTTGTCGTCAGGATAATTGCTTTGAAACTCTACGATGATGGGCAACTAATCGAAAGCCTTAACGGTCGGCATTATGTGCTTTTTTTCCCGAAGCAACTTGATCTCATTTTAGTTTGCAGTGTTAAATACACTAGCGTTTTGACAGTGTCAGATCTAGGGGATGACCAATGTTATGATACTACTAAAATGGGGCCAACAATAATACATGGAATACTAACGGTTGTTCCTAATTTATTCTCAAATTGCCTCAGAATGTAGGAGAAAGCATCGTAGATTTTAACATTTTCCGAGAGCCATGCCCAAAGACCCTCCTAGCAGGACTGCCTTCGGCACACCTTCACTCAACCCCTTTCATATCAACCACATCCCTCCCCCGTTTCCTGAAAGCTAGATCCGCCCCTGTTTGAGCAGCTTTTTTCAAGAGTGTGAAACAGAACATGTTATGTTTTCATGTTTGGTTCCCCTTGTATAAATCTTTGCCGTATTTTTTTTTTCAGCGTAGGGCCTATACAATCTCCAGCCATCTGATAGCAATGTGGCAAGTGCACATTTCTTCTCCTTGACACCCTTCCCTGACATGCATCCTCGATACACTAACCTGACTTGTTTGACGAAAGACGTGCTAATTCCCAAGCCTGTATAACGACATGTCCACACATCTTCACAGATCACACAAAACCATCTGAACAGGACCAAGAAGAAAAAAAAACCTCAACCACCAAAAAGATTCCAGCAAATCGCAACTCCATCCCGGTGTGGGGAAAAAAAATTACACAAAATTGACGGTTTATCGACTCGACAGTTGGATGCGGTTTTGAAAGTAGACGGGTCTTGTTTTCAAATTTGCCTCAATTCGTTCAAGCCTTTCTGAAGGACACTCCCCGGGCTTAAATGAGCATCACGTCCCGTCTCCGGCTCGCCTTGAGATGCCTGGGTTAATCAGCGTTCGTTGAGCTTTAAACTTGACTGCAAATTGACACCGTAATGTATATGAGGCGTGACACTGGTTAATAATGCACGTAAATTGGTTAAAGGGACAGACAATTAATGATCGGGCTGTGGTCATATTATGTTGCTTGTTTGAAGCAGTTTCAGAACACCCTCAATTTGCATCAACGAGTGCAGCACCACAAAGATGACAAAATTCAAATTTTTCTAGATCGTAATTTGACTGACGCGTTGATGGTACGGGAATGCATTGAACAAAACAAATACTCTCTAAATTCGAAAGAGTGAAAATTCACTCCATTTGAGTGAAGATTCAATCCCACAGTCGGACACTTTGGACTAGACGTTTTAGAGTGAAATTTCTTCAATCGTAAAGATCCAGTTTTCACTCGAGCTTCGTCTGAGAGGTGATTCTTTTTTCAGACTATTTCAATAGAAAATAAGAGTGATTTTCACTCTAAAACGTCTCGTCCCTAATTTCACTCTTTGGTATTTAGAGAGTAAAGCAGAAGCAGTTCTAGTGCAGATAAATTAGGCTTTTTTCTGTTATGATTAAAAATGTCATATTGAAATACTAAATAAAAAAAATTAGTTCGAAGAGAATCACCAACATTCAGAAGAACGAAAAATCAGACGAAATTTCAATTCCTTTCGGATTTAAATTACACAACAGTTTCTTTGTGCCTGCCAACATCTTATCTAGGTTCATCCTCAAGGAGAGATGATTAAAGTCAGACGCGAGCTATACAATGTGGTTCACTTCTCTATTTTCCAGAGCAGGTTTTAACTTTTAACCATCAGCAGAGAACGACGCTACACCTCAAGGTTTTTACCCCCAGTGTCCCCCGCGTTTCTCTTTACCAGATGACATCGTGTTATAGCGCCGTCGACTTTCCAAGATGCACAGGATTACTGTGCTGATCATGGTCAAGGCTTCTTCAATTTAAGACCGATCGCAGCTCATAAAAATGCTCCCTGACTTGAGAACCATCTTTTTGTAGCGTTGGGGCAAAGCTACGAACCGTGCGAGATGGGATCCGGATGGCAAGGGCCCCATTGTCCTCGGGATTAAGCCAAGGCGATCTGGGCATCACGTCTCCCCGACTTTTCGGTCTGTCTTGAGGTTGGGACAGGGACGGTGATGTTTTCCTCGTTAAAACGATGACAACCTTGTCAGTCTCAAAAGCGGTGGGTGGATTATCATGATGCAACCTGAGAAATTGTTTGCATGGAGTAAATATTCTACTTGGGTCCGCGTTATGTATCGTTATAGCCCTACAGATTACCGGCTGCAGCAGAGGATCCGGACTTGATAATTATTATGTAAATCCAAACCATTATGGAGAACGATTGGTGATGTATTGAGAATGTTAAAGAATAGATCGAGTATGAAAACGTCCACGATAATTTAATAAATAGGGCCCACTATTTACCCTTTCCTAATACCAGAAGGTGAGAGGCTATGAACAAAACTGTTTAAAAAGCGGAGGGGGGGGGGGGGGTTCAATCTTCCTATGGGGCGCTGTTCATGGGCACCATCAGACAATAGGTGGCGCTTTTCATGGCGGCACAATTGCCGACGTCAAAAAAGAGCACTCGTGGAAAAAAAGGGCACTCGGCACTGGGGTTGGCCTCCCTATAATAGTTCTTACGAGGCTCAATTTGCGACAACTTTTTCTTCCAGATACTTCCTAAAAGTTTAATAATTTTAACCCCGAACACTGCTGGGCAAATATCATTGCCCAACAGGATTTTTACACAACTGTTTCATCTTCAGTCCAATATGGGTAGGCCTACCCGTAATCTCCACACATTCTGAAAGCACGAATATCAAGTATTTATTCTAAAAGTTGTTTTCTTACGGTATAAATCGGCGTATTGATTTGAATATTTAGGATTTCTGAAAATAAAATTATTTTGAATGACTCTGCAAAACCTGAATAGGCTTTCAGTTCCAGACTTCGTGGAGTCTAAGTTTGTCTCCTCACTGTCTAACGTGGGAATCAGCATTTAATACAAGTTCG